TAATATATATATTTATAGTAAATATTTATATATATAGTAATTCTTGCTTTAAATTATTTTGAAAAATAAAAACAAATCTAATATTATAAGTTTGATAAATTTACTTATACGATATTAATGAAGAAGATTATAAATATTTTTATTTTTATACAACAGTATAAAACATATATAATTAATAAAAATTTTAGGAGAACAATATTTTCATTTGATACAAACAATCTACAAAGATCATTTTCATATTTCAGAACGATTATTCAACGCATATAAGAATTTTTTTTTTAATGGTTTATAAAGTAATTGGGGACACCAGATTTAGAACTTATAGAAATACGATTTATTCTTACAATATGTATCTTAATTACAAATTTATTTTATTCTGAATTTATATTTTATGGAAGTCATGTATTATTGAAATTAATAAAATGTACTCTCAATATTATGACACATAATAATAAACAATTACAAAAATTGTTATATTTCAATACAGAGCCACAAGCTATGTAGAAAATATTGAATTTTTGATTTATTAAGTAGAATACATATTTTAATAAATATATCAGAACATTTTTTAGTGATTCAATGAAATTTTCTATTAAGAATAGCTCGCAGCACTGTATATTCTGGCCAAAGAGCAATTAAAGAGCTTTAATAACAAAATTAACAAACGCCAGATTTTTGTATAAATTTTATGAAAAGAAGTTATAGAAGTTATAGTATTTTTAACATGAAAATATATAAGAAATATACAAAATTTTACATTTATAAGCATATACTAATGAATTATAAGAGAAAAAAAATAGTTCAGTTTTGTATAAGTATTACTGAAAAATGAAAAAGAATATCTGTTATTCAATTATTATTCAATTATTCAATAATATTAAACTCTATTTTCTCAAAATAATTATCGTGATAATCTAGCAGCATGCACTTATAATATAAATATAAATGCTAAAGAAAATTATATTGCAAAGAAATGATATTTTACAAATGACAAAAGAACGGTTAATACAAATTTTGTAATTAAAAATGATACAAATATTTCGATTTTTCAATATACTACACGTTAAAAGAAGAAGGAATTAAATCGTTCTGAAGTTTGAAAACAGAATACTTGTGTAATTCTTTATAGGAGGAGTAGCCTGAAGCTTAAGACTGTGCTTGTTCGCTGGAAGGCTGCATCTCCTCCGTTAGCTCCATTTGCTCTGATTGCTCAGTCGCATTCTCAGTTTTCTGAACACCCTCGGATTCGATCGTATTCTTATCATCTGTTTTTTGAGCACCCTATAATCAAAGTAATTTATCAACTACGATAGGAATGCAATAAAATTAATTACATAATGCCAATTAAACGTGGTGCAAATAATGCTTACTTTGAATATAAATAATTTAATAAGATCATTACCAAAATTAAAAATTCATTATTAAATAAATATAATTCAAAAATATTTAATATATATAATATATTTCAAAAATATATTAATTTAAATAATATGATTAATCTTTTGAATACAATAAATAAATATATTAAATGAAATATTATAATCAAACTTATAAACTATTCAAATATCATAAAACAATATTTATACTTATCTCTTATATTTTTATATATCTATAAGACAAAAAAAGAATTCTGTAATTTTTTTCTTTATAAATTATAATAATTTATAAATGATAAATATGATATTGTGATGTATTATATTATTTTATACAAATATTAAATTATTTTATACAAATAAATTATATAACTGAAATCATCTCTCATAAATTAATCAATTTTTTAATATATTTATTATTATTAATATATTTTAACTTATTAATATTTTTAAATCTTAAATTATTCTGAGATATTTACTGTAAAATATTAAAAGAAATAAAATAGAATTTTATTTCATCTATGATATATACAATACAATCTTTAATTATTAACTTAATGTACATAAGTAGGAAAAAAATATATAAAAAAAAAAAAAAAATTATTATATAAGCATATAAAATTATTTTTTACTTATTTCTATAATGAAAAAATTTTTATTTTTCCATCTAAAATTAAATATACTATTTTCATTATAATTAAATATAATTTATATATTAAAATATGTTAAAAAGATTAGTATTATGTATAATTATATTATGTATAATTCATATAATAATTATTAACTAACAATTCTAAAAATAAAATCAATCTTCAATAAAAAAATTTTGAATTACATAAAAATATATTGTATAACTTTTATGTAAATAAACTAAATGATGTTGTATACATTATATATCATATTTATATACTTATAATATAATATATCATATAATGAATATTACTGAATATTAAAAAAGATTATTCAAAAAATATTGAATTATAAATATATAAAATATTAATTTTAAATTATTATAAACAAAAAAATTATATTAATTAACATAAATTACATTTTTTCATTTATGTAATTAAATATTATGTATTTAAATTATTTAAAATATGCTTTTTAAATAATTTATATATGATATATTTAAAAATGTATAAATATATATATATATATATATTTAATTATTATAATCAGAAAAATATATTATATAATTATCATAATCAGAAAAAAGTATAAGTAAAAAATTTAATAATAAAATATTTTTGTTTTATATCTACAAATTCATATGTACAAAAAGTATATACAAGTATATGTACAAAAATTAAATAGAAAGATACCTGTTCAGGATGTTTTGCAAGATAATCATTTTTAGCATCTCTGATCATCCTTGTCACTTTATTCCTTAAATCCTTAAATTCTTCCCATTCTTTTGCATCTTTATTCTTTTTTGCTTTAGCATACAGCTTATTTTTTTTTTGTATTTCACTTCGGATTTCATCAGTCATCCATGGCTTTTTTAGTTCTAATTCCTAAATGATTGTAATATTTTTTTATAAGAATTTAAATAATATCTTTAAACTTGTTATTTATAATTTTGTTTTCATGTACTAAGATATTATATGTATATAATTTAATAAATTATATTTTTCATTGTCAATAAATATAATAAATCTGATTAGAGTTCTCTTCCATATATTTCATAGTAGTTATTAACTAAAATTTAAAAGTTAAAAATTAACTAATTTTAATTTGACTCATATATTTATTTTAAATATTTCAAAGACAAATATATTTAAATACAAAAGAAAAATTCAAGCAAATTAAAAGTAGATAATTTAAATAGATAATAATCATTTGTTTGGTAAATAATTATTAATTAAAATATAAATAAATTATATTTGAATAAAGAAATAATCAAATAAATAAATTTATTGATTATATTTCCATTATCATGCAATTATTATTTAACATAATTATTCTAATAAAACAATAGAATTATTATCCAAGTTGCATTTTATAAATATTAAAAAGTTAAAAATTATTACTTACTTCAAGTTTACTAACTTTTTTTGCATTATTCATTGCTTTCCCTTTAACATTGCCATTTCTTATAGAAAATCTTGGTCTCATATGAGATAAAATTTGAGGTGGTAATGCTCTTCTATGCCAAGGCCTCATCAATGGTCCTCTAGGTCCAACACCTCTTAAGCCCATTGGTGGAACCATTGGAGCCATAGCTCTAACTCGTGGACCAAATAATGGCATCGGTCCACTTGGTCGATTTACTCCACCTGGTCGCGGTGGCGGTGGTAATCTTTGTCGCATTGGTCCAAAAACTGGATTCATCGGAGGTGGTGGCATTCTTGGAGGTAAACCAGGAGGTGGCAATCTACCACCAAATCTCGGAGGAGGTGGAGGTCGCACACCAGTAGGTGGAACTCTTGGCCCTAACAAGGGTCCTCGGTTTAACGGACTCATGTTATTTTCGATGCAAATCTTCTAAAATCACTTTTACGATATTAAGTAGTAAACGATCAGTATTTCGTTAAATGCAAAGCTTTATTTATGAGGTTAAAACTTTAACTTTATACACTGTTTATACGCGAAATATGGAATATATGTTCGAATTATATATTTTTTAATTTTATCGTATTGAACTTTTATTTGAAACTAATTATAGAATTAATAATTGTTGCAAATATCGTAAAAACATTACGAACTTGTAAGCAAATAAACTTTTTACCTTGCAAATAGTAATCAGCACCGAAAAGCTTGATCTCAATAGTCATGAACAACAAACTTTAAGTTATACAAACGAGTTTATAATTTCAATACTCTAAATATTAAAAGGAAAAATTATATAGAAAGAATATGTATATATACATTATATACTTTATATAATATCGTATTATATAATAAAAAGTATTTTTTTAACTATTAAATAATTCTAAATTTATATATTATTATTATTTTTAATTTAAAAAATTTTTTAAATGTAATTCATAATATTTTAACATTAATATTTATTTTTTACAAATTATTTATAATTTATATTATTAAATTTAGAAAAAAGAATGAAAGATAAAAATATAATTTATTTAATTGTTATATATAGTATCTTTATGATTTTCATTTTTTATTTATTTAAATAAATTTTTTTAATGTTTTTTTCTTCTTATTAATTTTTTAATCAATTATCATTTATAAAAAAGTTAATTAAATAAAAAGATATGTTAGTTTTTTAAATAATATAATATATTCAAATTTAATTTATTAAATTATAATTTTTAAATTTATTTAATTATATATATTTAAGATAATTATATTATATAATGAAATACTTAAAAATAATTTCTAGTTTTATTGAAAAAATATAAAATAAAAAATTTTTATATTTAAAAAATATATAATTTTTAAACAAATAATATTTTTATTGTATATGCACCTATATTTAAGGATAATTTTAAGAAGGTGAGTTAATATATTACCTATCTGATTGGTCTATTTCCGATGTATAAGATATATTCTTTTCTCATTGGTCTATTTGAGCAACGCTTTTAACGTATCGCCAGCTGTTAAAGTTACGTTTGTTTGAAATCAAACGGCAACTGAAGTTTGTTGAGTTGCTTGGAGCTTCGAAATTTGTCTGCCATGTATGGGTGGTAAATATATTTCGTTGTAATAAGGAAAAGGCATGCATAGTGATTAAAAATTAATAATAATTTGAAAAAAAAGAAGAATTCATTTATATATAAAAAACTGGCAGAAAATTTTTAACTAAATAATGGCCACGATTCGAGTACATGAGGATCAAGAAAATCGTATTTCCGATGTTCGTCGCGGCAAAGAAAATATTAATGTGCCCCTTCAAAATCAAACATTGCAACCAACGAAACGTGCAGTTCTAGGTGTTCTTCATAATAATTGTAATCGTAATACAAAATCAGTATGTATACATTTTTTATTTTTTCTCCCGCGTTTCTGTAGATTAAAAAATTTAATGTTATTTTTATTATATATAATAAATAACCATAAAAAATAATTTTTAAATTTTAAATTTATATTTTTTTAATGATTAATTAATTTATTTTGTTTCTTGTAGGAAATATACAAGGATGAAAAATACCAAAAAACGAAAGCAGTTATACCCACACATTTTGAAGCTTTCAAAATTTATGAAGAAAAAAAGGAAGAAGTTATATTTAAAATCTATGAAGATAAGTTAGAAGAAGAAACTTCTGTTGCCCTTAGAGATACAAAAGATAAGAAAGAAATGAGAGAAAAGGAAAATATTACATTTGAAAGAGAAAAACCAAGGTTAGAAGTAAATCCTATAAATGTCTCAAATTTACCAACATTTTATAATGCAATTCAAGATATAAATCAAAAGAAGGAAAATGAAATAACTTTTTCACAAGGCAGTCCAATGTCTTTAGAAAAATCTATTTCTTATTTGTCTTCCTCAAAGAAAAATCATCAAAAAAGAAGAAAATCTATTAAAGAAATGAGAATGAATTTTTTTGATGTAGATGAATATAGAGCTGACATATATAATTATTTACGTGTTGCAGAAGTATGTATTTGTTTAAAATTTTTTTTTTTAAGTTAAAATAATCAATATTAATATAGCTTTAAAAAAATTTTATTTTAGACACATCATAGACCAAAACCAGGATATATGAAAAAACAATCTGATATAACATATTCAATGAGGTCAATATTAGTGGATTGGCTTGTAGAAGTTGCTGAAGAATATAGATTACAAACCGAAACACTCTATTTAGCTGTTTCATATATAGATCGCTTTCTATCATACATGAGTGTTGTAAAATCAAAATTACAACTTGTAGGCACAGCAGCTATGTTCATTGCTGCGTAAGTTTTTTTAATATATATTTAATTAATTATTATTACAAAGTTATATAATAAAATAGTAAAACCACTGATTGAAATCTTAATAATTTAGAAAATATGAAGAAATTTATCCACCTGAAGTAGGTGAATTTGTATATATCACAGATGACACATATCCAAAAAAACATGTGTTACGTATGGAACATTTAATATTAAGGGTTCTATCTTTTGACCTAACTGTTCCAACACCTCTTACCTTTCTTATGGAATTCTGTATTAGTAATAATCTTTCTGAAAAAATTAAATTTTTAGCAATGGTAAGTATATAATATTTTTTTTTTAAATAATAAAATAATATATTAATTTTCATAAAAAATTCTATAGTATCTCTGTGAATTATCAATGCTTGAGGGAGATCCATATCTTCAATTCTTACCTAGTCATTTAGCTGCATCTGCAATAGCACTTGCACGACATACATTATTAGAAGAAATGTGGCCACATGAATTAGAATTATCAACAGGATATAGTTTAAAGGATCTCAAAGAATGTATTTTGTGTTTAAATAAAACTTTCTATAATGCATTAAATATTCGACAACAAGCTATACAAGAAAAATATAAAAGCAGCAAGTAAGTTCAAATATTAATGTTTAAATTTTTTTTTTTATATTTTATTGAGTCTCAAATATATTCTTATTTAGATATGGACATGTAGCATTATTATTACCACGACGTATTGATAATGTCACATTGACTTCTGAAGATGAAGAGGAGCATGCCTAGTATTCAACAGGCATTGCGCAAAAATAAAAATATCTAAAAATTTATGTTTGGAGATAACGAACCTCCCACTATAAATCCCATGTTTTGTAAGACAAGGAGGGGATTAGGGCAAGACTGAGCTATTGTTTCACAAATGAAATGTACGAGTAATTTCTATTTGCATATATAGTCACTATGTTTAGCTTAAGCAAACATATTGGCTTTATTTTTCATATTCCACTACCACCTATACTTATTATAGGTTGTAGATAAATTTTAATAACTGTTTTTAGAGCTCCATCATTATATTAACGAATGAAGCTCTAAATTATGTTATTTAGGAATTGTATTTTTATATGCATTTTTTAGATGATTGTTAACAGAACACTTGCTCTATATATATGATGCCTAAATTTTGTTGCCAGTGATCTGTCATAAAATAATAGAAAGTGTAAGAATAATAACTGTATTTATTATTGACATTGTATTAAAAATATACATCATTATGATGGAAATATTTCTATGTATTAAAATAATTACAACATTTATCTATTTTACAATTCTTGCATAGCTATTTATTTACATATTTTTTATACATATAAAATTGACAATTTTTATAAATGATTTAACTAAAAATAATTTTTTAGTTGCTTTTCTTTACTTATTTTTTATTTACTTATTTATAAAAAATAGTATTTGTATATACATTTCATAGATCATGCTATTTAAAAAAAATTTTTTTTATAAATATTTAGATTTTATATTTAGATATTAAATTTTTATTTTAAAATTAATTAGATTTATATAGAATATTTAATTTCAATATTTGATTTTTCATATAAATGTTTTTAAAAAATATTTTTTTAATGTTTTTTAATCTTTTTAAAAAGAATATAAAATTTTAGACATGATCTCTGAGCAGAATATATTGAAATAAAAATATTAAAGTGTTTGATACACTATATACTATATATATCTATAATGTTTATATTAAAAAATATATATACATATAAATTTGTTTTTAATGTTATTTTTCTGCGATTGCAATATCGAATTTTTGAATTATATTATTTATATTATATAATAAAATGAAATACATATATAATAATTTTATAATGTTCTTAAAAAAACATGATAAATCCAAATTATTATGAAAAATTAATAAAATAAGTACTTTAAAATATGCCTTAAATTTATAACTGAAGTCAATAATAGTTCAATAATATTAATTGATTTTAAAATACTTTTCAATTTTAAAATAAATATTTCATAATAGAATATTTATAAAATATATTTTCTGTTATATGATATAAAACACAAAATGTAAAAGACTATTATTAATATTAAGAATAAAGTAATATATGCTATTAATTTTGTATAATATGATATTTTTTGATATATCGAAATACTCAAATACTAAAATATTCTTGAAGATATTCTTTATAATATTTATAAAAAGTTGGTAATACTGATTTCTTTTGCTTTTCCATTACATTTAATTGTGCGCATGTGTGCGTAGTCTAAACTAGTATTGACGTTGACAATTTGCAGTTGATATTATATAGAAATCTAACGAAAAAGTAGTTGTGGGTGTTTCCTAAGATAAAAGTTATACATTCCGTATATTATTGAGGTATAAAATTTAATTCAATATTTTTTTGATATTTTATTTTATTAAATAAACGTTTGTATTTCATCTTACATATTATATATCTAAATATTTTTAATATCTTGTACAATCTAATTATATTTTAAATAAATAGATACATATTTTTAGGTTATTTTTATTTATACTATTTGATTGATAAATAAATTCATTTATAATATTTTAATTTAAATTATAAATATGTAATATTAAAATAAAAATGAATATTTGAAAAATATTAATATCACAGTTTGAATATAAAAGAAAATTGTATTGTTGTAATATATTTATCTTTTTTTTAAAATTGAATAAACAAATTATAATTCAATTTTTTACAGAATTTTTACAGAATTTTCAGAATAGTATAATTTGTTTTTCTTTATTATATGTTTTATTATATTTACAATATTTTATGCGTAAAAATATTAATTTGTTTAAAACTTTGTCAATTCATATTGATAATTTTATTAGATATCATGGATGCATTTGGTGATAACTTTGTCAATGAAGAAGTAGATCCAGTTGCAGAATTTGTAGCTAGGGAACAGGATCAATTGGCAGGATTAGAGAATGAAATTCCATCAGTTTCTATGTCTGCTCCTGTGACAGCACCTAATACAGATGGTAATTATAATTATATTAATCATATTATTTTTTAATATTTATATAAAATTATAATATTCAATTTATATAAATAATAATAGTTATTTTTTTTGAAGATAGGGAAAGGGATAGATTGTAATCTTTTATGTTGCTTGGTTTCAAAAATTTTGTTTATATTACTAATAATATTATGAATATATCAAAATTAATAAATGATTCTTGTTCTCATATAATAATATGTAATTATAAATCATAAATTAAGATTACATTATACATATATATTTTTTATTTAAAAATTTTATAATTTAAATTAATTAAATTTTAATTAATAATATAAATATTTAAAATATTTAATTTTAAATAATATGAAATTTTGGAAATTTAAGTTGGTCCAGGTGGTGATGCTGAAGGCAGTTTTGAGATAATAGATGCTATTGGACAACTTCCTGAAACACAAGCATCTTCAATAATAGGTAAATTATATTGTATTATCTTTTTTTAAATCATCTGCCTTATTATGAAACATTATATATAGATTTAAAAAAAAACTATTTTTAGAAACTGTATCCAAGCCTCTCCCAGTAAAAGAAGAACCTGAGAAAATACGAAAATGGAGAGAAGAACAAAAAGCTAGATTAGAAGAAAAAGGTAAAAGATCTTTATAATATATTTAATATATATATTATAAAGATACACAAAAAATGTTAATTTACATGTAATAATAAAGTTATATAATAGTTATATAAAGTTATATAATAATAAATTGATATGTATTTCAAAATATTTACACAGTATTATTATATGCAATACACTTAGATGCAGAAGAAGAAAAGAAAAAAGAAGAATGGAGAGAAGCTGCAAGAAAAGAATTGGAAGAATGGTATAAACATCATGCAGAAGCAATTAGTAAAACAAAAACTACGAACAGGTAATATTTAAAATTGTTACACTATTCAGTTTTATTTTATATAACATTTTTTAATGTTTTTTGAAATTATAACTTTTAATCGCATATTTGTAGATGCAATTAAAAGAGTTTTATTCTGTATAAAATTATAAATATTTTATTTAAAATATGTACTACATACAATTATATTATTTTCATTCTGCTTCTTAGGGAATCAGCCAAGTAAGTTACACTATATTTCTTTGCATGTATAATTGCATTGCATTGCTGTATAATATAGCTTGCTTAGGCAGCTTATAAGGCAACTTGCAGAATATTAGAAATATTAAATATTTCCATATGTTAATAACAATCGCTTTTTTATATAACAATTTGTATATTTTGTGCTTGATGCAATTATACTTGAAATTTCAATGTTTCTAATCTATTATACAAAAGCCATGTATTTATTTCCATTAGAATATTTTCATTTATTTCTATTAAAAATAATTAAAAAAATATGTATTAAATTATCATAATATTTTATTTATATTATTATATTTATGAGCATAAGTATTACAATAATTAAATTTTTAACTATTTTGTCATTATTAATATTAAAATGTTTAAATAAATATAAACATATAAGTTATATTAAAATTTTTAATTTCTATCTGTCTAATTATATGATTCAATAAAATATAATTAGATTTTGATATTTTAATATATAGACAATGTTAACATTTTATCTTGTTAATTATTTTTAAATCATATTTATAAAAATAAATACTAAAATATCTTTATTTTTTATTATATAAATTATGAAATAACATAAATTCTATTTTATAAAATAATATAAAAAGAAATAGTAAATGTATACACATATGTATACATTGTTAAAGTCATTTATAATTATCATTTATAAGTCATTATAATATTAAAATAAAAATTGCTTAAAAAAATTTTTAACATTGCATTGCTACATATGTTATATATATGAAACGGAAATAGAATTATTCAATACATATACTGCAATGTTATTATTGCATTTAATGTTTGAGTATCGTCGCACTTTTTTTATATGTTATAGTTTATATAACATAATGGATTTATCTCTAGGAACGCAGAAAAACAATTTGTAGCAGAAGCTGATGAAGTGGAACCAGGAACTGAATGGGAACGTATTGCTAAACTTTGCGATTTTAATCCCAAATCTTCCCGCACTTCAAAAGATGTTTCCCGAATGCGTTCAATTATTTTGCAGTTGAAACAAACTCCACCAGCTCCAGTCAGTCTTTGATTAAATTAACAACTTGGTATAAAAAAAAATAAATATATATACATATATGTGTATGTGTGTGTGTGTGTGCGTAACACGCACGCGCGCGCGCGCACACACACACACACACACACACACAAATGAAAAAGTGTTATGTATGCAGGTTACAATAATATCATTTAAAAAAAAAAGATCATAAAAGATCTGTTAAGTGAGAATGTAATATTATTGTGAATAAAGATTATTAATAGCAATTATACGTATAAATATTAAATTTAAAAAATAAAATATGTAACATAATTATTAATGCTGATATAATATAGAAAAATAATAATTTTACCCTTGCGTATATATATTTAAATGTAAGTGGTAATTCATAAAATAATATATAAAATTTCCATAAATTATTTTAATTATATATAAAATTTTATGAAAATATATTGTTTTTAGTACAGTTAATAAGTTTTGAAGTATATTAATACTATTTAACAAGTAACTTATTGTGCGTAATATATAAAATTTTTATAGTTTTAGTTTTATACATTGTCCAACATCTTGAAATTTTATATCTAGAAATTCATGATCAATTTTCTTCTAATTGTTCTTGCATTATTTGCTCTGAAAATAAAAACAAAATTTAAATTAATTAAATTTTAATATGTATTAATAATAGACTATTTTTGTATTTGAGAATTTGAAAAGTAATCCGAGTTCTTTTTTTTTTATTTATAAGCAGAACAAGAAAAGTAAAGTGATTAAAAATTAAAAAATAAATTGATTAATTTTATAATTTGAAAATTTGTAATTGATAATATGTTTATAAAAATATTAAAATTATTAACATATGTGAAATTCTTTTTTATTGTTGTTGTTATAAAGAACTTGGATTAATTTGCTTATAAATACTTAAAATTCCAAGTTTATTATTAAATTTTTTTATTTTAATATAACGTAAGTGAATTTTCATTATTCTAATAAGAATAATGTAAAGATTGAAAAAAATGATATATATAACTAAATTTTGAAAAAATTATGTTAGTCTGATTCTCAAATACAAAATTAATAAATATATAATCCGAATAAAAAAAAATTTATATTATATTATTGTAAAAAAAAAGATAATATTAATCGTTTCTTATAAATACAAAAGGACAAAAGATCAATACCTATGTAAATCACGTTTCATAGCAAGTTGCATGTCATGTTGCCAGCGATAAATATTTGGATATGTAATGGAGTTAAGTAATGTTGATACTGCATTATAAACAGCATAATCCAATTTTGTTGGTACTGGCCTATAAAATAATAAATAAAGCATTATGTATAGTAATTATAATATATAATTTTAATATATATATAATATTTTACCCTTCAAGAAATGTTCCAAAACCTTCTTCTGCATTTTGCATTTCATCATCAGAACTATCTATTGTTAATTGTGGTGATGATGGTGGTGTAAAAAATTCTAATTCATCTAAAAGAAAAAAAAATTACTTTAAGTATCTTCTACCACATATATCTATATAAATTTCATTTATTTTGAAATATTCAAAACTTACCTACATTATTTTGATCTTGATTATTTGATGTAAGTAATGACCATGATTGTAATTTATTACATAAATAGTCTATTTCATCAATTTGTAATTTTGTTTTTAAATTTTTGTTTGAATTAATTACATTATTTGATGTCTGTGAAAAATTGTATAAGAAATGCAACAATTTTAAATTAATTTAAAAATTAAATTAATATTTTTTATACCTGATTATAACGAAATAATTGATCTTGAAATTTATGTTCTAAATATTTTTCAAGTTTTATTAAACCTTCTTTAGTACGAAAATCTGCGAAATCATTCAAAAATGGCCAATATTCCTTCCATGATACTTGATATTCTTCTGCTAAGTCTCTAATAATTAAAATTTTCTTTTTTAAATTTATTAATTAATATTTTATATAATTTATATTATAATTTTAAGTCAAAATTTATAATACCTTCCAACTCGTTCAAGACCTTTTTCTGCATCTTGTAATCTCAAAGCTAAATTATTAGTAGGACTATCTATAGCATTAGATTCATCATCAGTTTTTTTAATTGGAGTCATACAAAGACGTGGAGGTGTTTTCCACTTTTTTCTGAATTCTAATGCTCTAGATTTTGTCATTGGTCCAGCAAATGCACGTACTTCTAAACGTGGACTAATTGGATCCGTATTTAAACTCTATAAAAATATTATTCATAAAATATGCAATGTAAATTAAAATATTTTAACATACCAAAGGACTAGTAGGAGAAAAAGGTTCCCCAATCATTGGTTGCAATGAATTATCATCTGATCTTAATACAGGTACATAATATTGATCTTCCAATAGCAAACGTATTTCTTTTTTCAATTCTTCATCTTCTTGACATATTCTACTACAAATTATCTATAATATCAACAAAGATATAATTAAATTAATATTTTACATAAAATACATATAAATGTAGAATGTACATGTAAAGAATATAAAGAGAAAATAAATTATAAATAAAAAATAATAAATTCATATATATATATATATATATATTAAACAAAATATATAATAATATTCTTTATAAAAAAATATCAAATATTTTATTACGTACATCTATTGGTAGTTGTTTATATTTATTTGGTAATGTTTTTATACAACATGGATATGAAACAAGAACTCGAACTACATTTTTTAAACCAAATTTAACTGCAAAATGTAATGGAGTTTCATTCAATCCCTTATCAGGTGTATTTAAATATAAATCTAATATAATCTGTGCACGATCTACATAACTCTTGCATTCATCACCATAAAGTAACTTTATAAAATCTGTATTTCCAACAGTGTTTAATATTAACTCACACATATCAGGTCTATCTGCTCTAACTGCAATATGTAATGCATTATAGCGGCATCCTTCCTATAATAAATAAATAAATGAAATTTTTAAATAATCTGTATATTAAACAATTTATATATTTCCTAAATATAACTTTAAGTTATGATTTACTTGCAGAATTGCAGGTGTATCTCCACTACCAATTAAATATCGTGGATTTCCCCATACTGTATTTTTTACAGCATATAGATCTCCATCTTTAATTAACTTTCTAAAACATACAAGATCTTGAGATCTTGGAGCTTTAAAATTATTTGATTTTTCTTCTATTATAGATATTGTTGTATTTGTTATACTATTTATATTATTTGCTTTTTCAAAACCAGTTTTTGCATATTCTTCAGCTTCTGATCGTATTTTAAATGATTTTAAACGACCAGTTTTAAATTCCTTAATTACTTTTAATGCTTCTGCTTTATCTTGATACACTCGAATATGATCTATAACATTTAAATAAAAATTATATATTATATTTAAATAATAAATTAAAAAGTTAAACTACAAAAAAATTATTTATTTTTATATATTTACCTTTAATATTGTTTTCCATTGAAAAATTAACATTTTCTTCAGGTATATATACTGCATGAAAAATTGTTTCATTTAACGTATTAGAATTTCCATGAATCATATGTAATGTTTCTGATATTTGTTCTGTTTCATCCATTATTTCTTTTCTTTAGCTTTTTTTTAATTATTTTTAAATCATATAATTATTTATTGGTTATGTATCACATATGAAAGTGCCAAAAATGTATCAAGCTATTAAATTTAACTTGTCTAACTTAATCTTAATAATTCTGTATATAATATTTTGTTTTCTTTAAATTAACTATAAAATATAAATTTACAAGAAAATAGAAAACTTGTATGATAAATTATTCAAAGCTAAATTTAATTTTCAGATTAGTAAACAATTGAACATAATGTAAAAGGCATTTACATTATTATGAAATTATATATGAAATTAATAATTTGTAATTTTTTTTTTTATATACAATACAAAATACTTAAAAAAGCATACCAATTCATAATCAACTGTCATTTATAAAGTTAACCAATCCTAGACAGATTTTAGGTCGTTGACCAATTAGTTTAAACGTAAAATAATTTATACATTTACAAATATTTATTTTAATATTTATTATTTAATATAAAACTGAATTTTAATTTTAATTTTTCTATTAATCATTAATAAATCAATTGAACAATTAAATTTAAAGATTAAATAGCTTAAATAAAGATTAAATAGCACTTATTAAATAATCATTTGATGAAATTTTTTTCTTATTATAATTTAAAATAAATATTAAAACATTTAATGGATTTAATAATATTTTTGATTTATTAATTTAAAATTTTATAATTTTTTATTGTTTATTATATAAATATAATTATTATTTGTTAAAATTTCACATATGAAAATTAAAAATTAAAAATTTCTAATTTGAACGATGATTTTTAAGTTGTTAATATAATATTTTAAATATGTATATATATAAATTTTATGTAAAATTGTATATAAAAATAAAAATTTTTTTATATAAGAAACATTAAATTGTCATTAAAAATTTAATTCATTTTATTTATTAAATTATCATAATATTTGTTATAATATATTAAATTGTTTATTCAAATGACACAGTCACGTCTGGAGAAGTCATTTTGTTGAGAAAACACGTGCACCTGTAAAACTATTAAACATTGAATGAGTTTAAGAACACTGAATGGGCGGAGCTATCACCATACCATCGTAATCAACCAATGAAAAATTCAATAAGTATTTACAAACCGCACATCATCAAATGTGTATTATCACTCTAGCTATATGTAAGCATGTATTTTTTTCAATCGTATTTAAGATTAGACTTGAGAGTTTCGGGGCAATGTTATTGTCGGAAAGGATTACTAATAGTTCGAATGTGGACATCGTGCGAAGTACATCGTTTAAAACGCTTTTTTTATAAGTAATGTTCAAAGTGTTAAAAAAAGAGAATCAGTATTTTTTTATCTATTGTACAATTATTTTTGACAATCAATTTAAACAAAGTAATAATAAATAGTATAACAAATAAGGGAATTCCAAAATGAATTTATCGTTTGCTGGTTGTGGTTTCCTTGGTATTTATCATGTTGGTGTAGCAGTGTGTTTTAAGAAATACGCTCCACACTTACTTTTGGATAAGATTAGTGGTGCATCGGTTGGTGCTATCGCTGCTTGTTGTCTTCTTTGTGATTTACCCCTCGGTGAGTGAACTCCTTTGTTTACATATCTACCAGATATATAATATCATAAACTTAAATAATTAGTTTTTTTAGTATTATAGTTCAATTTG